TCCCTTATTTGGGGGGGGGGGGTGCTCGACATCACTACCTAATTGGATTTACCTATTTTTAAGTGTTTTTTTTAACCTTTCTTCTTTTTAAATTAGCTTCAATAAAAGGATTGTTTAAAGTCAGAGGGCTTTTCCTGTCCTGGAGTGCTACGTTTGCGGGATTTGCGACTGACTCGTGTTTCCACAGCATTTTGCAGCCTGCGTATAGCTAGGCCTTTGGTCGCAGAGGGTTGGCCTACACGTTTAAACAAACAGACCCCTTTCAGGGACAGAGTCAAGGACTACAAACTGCCAGCAAACCCACGCTGCTGATGATGCTGCTGCCAGCGCACTGAAAATTCCCCACAGACTGCTTCAGATGGTCAGTGGGCGGACTGATGTGCTACACATTGTACTTTGACCTATTGAGCTGCGTTGCTAATTATCGATTTCTCCATTCCCGCCTCCTACTTGCTGAGAATCTGTGCCTTTTGTTGTGTTTTCACAGCTACCAGAAAGGAAAGGAATGACTGTTATGAGTCAGGATTTGGTCCCGGCTGCCCCATAATCCTCCGCTGACCATCATGGTCAGCAGCAATCAGAGACCATTCCTACCAGCAGGCCTTCTCCATTGTGATTAGATTTATTCTCTTTTTAAAAGGTAATAAATCTATTCTAAGTGTTGTTGAAGGCTCTCTTGGCCAGAATCACCAGGTTGCTGTGAATTTTTCATGCTGTATGGCTATGTTCCAAGTAGCATTCTCTCCTGATGTTTCACCTCCATCTATGTCCAATGCCATCCTCAGAGGTTGTTGCTAGTGAGGCAAATGGGGTGTATCTTGCCACACATCATGTAGTCTGACACGATGGTTGTCAGATTACATGGGAGATGCCACTGAAATCCACAAGCATGTGGACAACTTCAACAAAAAGGAGAAAACCATGAAAATTGACCAAATCTGGTTACCAGTATTTAAAAAATCAAAAATCAAGACAGTAAACAACACTCAGAAATGGGGGAACTCCAGACAGCAAACCAAGGGCCAGTTAAGACCTCCCAAACAGAAGATGCCTCCAGGTAACAACAGCCAAGCTATCTCTATGCAGATACCCTCACTGATTGGCTTTGCAAGTTAATGGATACTCAATGTTATTTAAGATTGCTGATGGCGACATTTGCACTTGCTTCAGGCAAGGGTTGTTTCTCCCACCCTGGACGTTATTCCACAGAGGATGCCTCCAGGCAACAACAGCCAGGCTACCTCTATCCAGACACCCTCACGGATTGACTTTGAAGGTTCATGGATACTCAATGTTATTTAAGATTGCTGATGGCAACATTTGCACTTACTTCAGACAAGGGCTCTTTCTCCCACCCTGGACGTGGGAGAGAGGGCCTGGACGTTATTCCACAGAGGATGCCTCCAGGCAATGACAGCCAGGCTACCTCTATGCAGATACCCTCACAGATTGACTTTGCAGCTTCGTGGCTACTCAATGCTATAACATTGCTGATGACAACATTCACACTTCCTTCAGACAAGGACTCTTTCTCCCACCCTGGATGTTATTCCACAAGGGAAGCCTCCAAGCAACGACAGCCAGGCTAACTCTATGCAGATACCCTCACTGATTGACTTTGCAGCTTTGAGGCTACTCAATGCTATTTAAGATTGCTGATGGCAACATTAGCACTTACTTCGGGCAAGGGTTCTTTCTCCCACTGTGGACATTATTCCACAGAGAATGCTTCCAGGAAACAACAGCCAGGCTACCTCTATGCAGATACCCTCACTGATTGACTTTGCAGCTTCGTGGCTACTCAATGCTATTTAAGATTGCTGATGGCAATATTCACACTTGCTTCAGACAAGGGTTCTCTCTCCCACCCTGGACATTATTCCACAGAGGATGCCTCCAAGCAACGACAGCCAGACTACCTCTATGCAGATACCGTCATGGATTGACTTTGCAGCTACTCAGTGCTATTTAAGATTGCTGATGGCAACATGATATATACACACTCCATTTTCCTCACTAGCAACAAACTCTGAGGATGCTGTTAGCCACAGGTACAGGCATAACGTCAGGAAAGAATGCTACTGGAACAGGGCCATACAACACAAAACGCTCACAGCAACCCAATCATTTCTAAATTTGTTGTGTTCGTGTTCACTCATTTAGGGCCAATCTGGGCCTTCTTTGGGCCACCCATGTTCCTCTTCACCTTTGGGTACGCATGGCCAGTGGGGTCTAAGGAAAGTCACAAATCCGCCGCAGGTGCCTCCCCCCTTTTCCGTAGGACGTTTACCATCTGTGGCAGGTACTTACAGTTCTCCAGAAACGCAAGAAGAAACCGACTGTTTGCCATCTGCTTCCCCTTCCCACTCCCCCTTGAGCCGTTTATTCCTTTCCTCTGGTCCCAGCCCTGAACAGATGGTCCCTCCTGCGAGGGAGGAAGAACCCCACTCCTGAAATGCAAGTGCCTAAGCGGAGGCCTAATTTGAAAGAGGAGGAGGATGACAACGTGGTGACACGAAAGGGACATCATAGTGTCTCCCGGCAGAAGAGACAAAGAAGGCGGTCATTTCGAGGTCTAATGACAAGGCCAATTAGGTTTCTCAGTTGTTAGACTGATATACCTGCTCATCGCTTAAGCGGCTGAGGGGGAAAAGGAAGGGGCCTGAGGCTGTTAGGAATGGTGGGAGTTGGAGTCCAAAACGCTTGGAGGGAGGGCCAAAGTTGGCCCAGGCCTGTGTTAGATTGTATGCAATCCAACATCACCATATGCAGTGCAGAAGGCGGACAAAGGCTTTGGAGAAAGGATGCTCAGAGTTGATTGGATTTGGGTGGCTTTCCCTCCTCACACCTGTTTCTTACTGTTGTAATGTTCCTTGGCGTTGAGTCTAATTGATGGCGATGGCCTCCCAAGGTTTTCCTGGGAAAATAAAATAGAAAAGGTTTGCCATTCCAGTCCAACCCCATTCTGCCAAGAAGCAGGAAAATCACATTCAAAGCACCCCCGACAGATGGCCATCCAGCCTCTGCTTCAAAGCCTCCAAAGAAGGAACCTCCACCACACTCCGGGGCAGAGATTTCCACCGCTGAACACTCTCACAGGCAGGAAGGTCTTCCTCATGGAAAGGAGGGAGGGAGGGAGGAAAAGAAAGAAAAGAAGGGAGGGAAGGAGGAAGGTGGAAAAGAAGAAGACAGAGGGAGGACAAGTAGGAAGGAGGAAAAGAAAGGAGGGAAAGGGAAGAAAGAAAGGGTGGAAAGGAAAAAAAGGAGGAAGAAAGGAGGAAAAGAAGAATGAAGGAAGTAAAAAGGAAGGGAGAAAGGAAGGGAGGATAGGGAAGAAAAGAAGGGAGAGAGGAATGGAGGGAGGGGAAGAAGGAAGGAAGGAAAAGGAAACGAAAGAGGAAGAAGGAGGGAAAAAAGGAGGAGAAAGGAAGAGAGAAAAAAGAGAGAGAAAGGATATTATAGGGAGGAGAGAAAGGGAAAGAGTGAGGTGAGGACGAGCAAAGCAGACGAAAGGAAGCAGGTAAGAAGGGAGAAAGGTATGTGTAACAAGCAGTCCATGGGAATTGGTGGAAGCGAGGAAGGGATAAAAAAAAGAAACTAGATCAAGTGAAATAAAGTCGTGAGGAGGGTTAAGGATAAAGGTAGGAAGGAAAGATGGTTAAGGAGAAGCAGGAGAACTTCCCTAATGAGACACTTTTGAGTTAGGAAAAGGGTGGAGAAAATGTGATTAGTCAAGGGAGGAAGGAGGAGGAAAGAGGAGGGGGAAGAGGAAGGAAAGGAGAAGGAGGAAAAGAAGGAAGGAAAAGGGAGGAAGGGAAGGAAAGAGAGGAGGAAAAAGAGAGGGAAGCAAGGGAAGGAGGAAAAGAAGGAGAGGGAGGAGAAGAAAAGGAGGAGGAAAGGAGGGGGAGAGGAAGGAAAGGAGGAGGAGGAAAAGAGGGAAGAGGGGGAAGGAAGAGAGGGAGTGAGGAATGAAGAAGGAGGAAGAGGGAAGTTTGACTTGGCCACGGTAGTCCACGCTCTGGTTACATCCCGCCTAGACTACTGCAACGCTCTCTACGTGGGGTTGCCTTTGAAGACGGCTCGGAAGCTCCAACTGGTCCAACGCTTGGCAGCCATGATTCTAACAGGAGCGGGACGCAGGGAGCATACAACCCCCCTGCTGTACCAGCTCCACTGGCTGCCGATCTGCTACCGGGCTCAATTCAAGGTGCTGGCATTGGCCTATAAAGCCCTAAACGGTTCCGGCCCAAGATACCTAACTGACCGCCTCTCGGCCTATGAGCCCACGAGGACTTTGAGATCTTCCGGGGAGGCCCTGCTCTCGATCCCGCCTGCGTCACAGGCACGGCTGGCGGGGACGAGAGATAGGGCCTTCTCGGTGGTGGCTCCTCGGCTGTGGAACACCCTTCCCGTGGACATCAGGCTAGCCCCCTCCCTGTTGATATTCCGCAGGAAGCTAAAGACCTGGTTGTTTAAGAAGGTATTTGAATAGAAGTGCAATGACTGGTAACTCGACCATAGGAATGGAACAACGGAAATGGTATCGGATTGTGAACTTGACGATGAGACGACTCGGAATGGCTTGTAGTAATGTTGATGTTTTTGATGAGATGTTTTGATAATGCTGTACTGCGGATTATTTTATTTTATGTTGTATTTTGCACCTGTTTTTCTATGTTGTACACCGCAATGAGATTGCGGTATACAAGCGAAGTAAATAAATAAAAAATAAATAATAAATAAGGGAAGGAGGAAAAGAAGGAGAGGGAGGGAGGAAGAAAAGGAAGGAGGCAAAGGAGGGGGGAGAGGAAGGAAAGGAGGAAGGAGGAAAAGAAGGAAGGGAGGGAGGGGGAAGGCAGGAGGGGAAGAGGAGGGAGGGGGAAAGGAGGAGGGAGAGAGTAAGGGAGGGAGGGGGAAGGCAGGAGGGGAAGGGGCGGGGCCTGTCGTTGTGGGCGTGGCCTCTCCACGCGCAGCCCCTCCCTCCCTCCCTCCCTCCCTCCCTCCCTCTGAGTGATGGCGGCGTGACCTGAATGAAGGACCCGGCGGTCCCTCTCTCAGGCCCGGACCAGCAGCGCCGGCTTCTCCTCCTTCTCCGTCTCCTTCTCTCCGGAGGAGGAGCCTCCAGCCATGTTCCCCCAGCAGCAACACCCTCAGCATCACCAGCTCCAGCAGCACCTGCTCCAGCGGCTCCTCCAGCAGCCGCCCCCGCCGCCCCCAAGCCCCCGGTAAGCCCTTGCACTCGAGGCCGGGGATGCGCGGCCTACCACGCCCAAGCCTCATGATTGTGTTATTCTTGTGCTTATGTTGGTTTATACCCCACTTTTATCACCCAAAGCGGCAATGTATCTGTAATTAACATTCGAATGTATTATTATTTTATAATATTATATTTATTTATGCCATGCTTTATCTCTCTCGAAGGAGACTCAAAACAGCTAGTTCTTATATTATTATACTTATATTGCCGTTTATATTATATTATTATTTTGTTATTGGTATTAGAATGTGTTCTTATTATATTATTATGTTTATATTATTATTATTATTATATTTATTTATACCACGCTTTATCTCTCTTGAAGAAGACTCAAAACAGCTAGTTTTTATATTATATTACAATTATAATATTATATTTATTAGTATAATATTATATTATTATACTTATATTACCAATTATATTATTATTATTATTATTTTATTGGTATTAGAACGTGTTCTTATTATATTATTATGTTTATATTATTATTATTATTATATTTATTTATACCACGCTTTATCTCTCTTGAAGAAGACTCAAAACAGCTAGTTTTTATATTATATTACAATTATAATATTATATTTATTAGTATAATATTATATTATTATACTTATATTACCAATTATATTATTATTATTATTATTTTATTGGTATTAGAACGTGTTCTTATTATATTATTATGTTTATATTATTATTATTATTATATTTATTTATACCACGCTTTATCTCTCTTGAAGAAGACTCAAAACAGCTAGTTTTTATATTATATTACAATTATAATATTATATTTATTAGTATAATATTATATTATTATATTTATATTACCAATTATATTATTATTATTTTATTGGTATTAGAACGTGTTCTTATTATATTATTATGTTTATATTATTATTATATTTATTTATACCCTGCTTTATCTCTCTCGAAGGAGACTCAAAACAGCTAGTTCTTAGTATTAGATTATATTATTACAGCTATATTACTGTTTATATATTATTATTATTATTATTATTATTATTAACTTTATTTGTACCCCGCTAGCATCTCCCGAAGGACTCGATGCGGCTTACACAGGCCGAAGCCTCAAAACACAATACAAAAACATAACACAGTAAAACCAAAGAAAATCAAAACAATTAAGCAAAATAACAACAATGACAGTACATCAAGACACTATTAAAACTGGTTCGGCCGGCGCAATGGGGTACAAGGGTTAAAAGTGCTGAAATGGCAGGAGGAACGTAGGATTAAAGTACGGTGTGCAGTACATTGGTTGTGCTAAAGTGCTTCTAGGACTTGGGATGGGGGATTCCTAATCTGAGAAGGCACATCGGAACAGCCAAGTTTTTAGGTTCCTTCTGAAAACTGCTAAAGTAGGGGCCTGTCGAAGATCTTTTGGAAGGGCATTTCAAAGTCGGGGGGCCGCCACAGAGAAGGCCCTGTCCTGTGTCCCCACCAAGCGCGCTTGCGACGTGGGTGGGATCACGAGCAGGGCCTCCCCAGATGACCGGAGCGAGCGTGTGGGTTATTATTATTATTTTGTTATTAATATTAGAATGTGTTCTTATTATATTATTATGTTTATATTATTATTTTTATATTTATTTATACCCCGCTTTAACTCTCCCAAAAGAGTCTCAAAACCACTATGTATCTATTGTCAGTATTATAATATATTATTATAATATATGTTATTATTGTGTTTATTTATACTCCACTTTATTTCTCCTGAAGGGGACTCAAAGCAACAATGTATCTGTAATTAGTATTTGAATGTATTATTATTATTATATGACTGACATAAAAACACAGTACGTCACAGCAAACGAGATATATCTGCTGGATTTCGCATCACAAAATCACATTATTCTTAAATTATCTATATATATAAATTTCCTCCTGGCGTCGTATGAGGAAACAAAACTCTAAAAAACCCCAACGAAACTCCACCAAACTTCCCATGCCCCAAGGGCAACCAACAAGGTACAAACTAATCCAGTCAGAAATCAAAACACACAACAACAACCACAATAAACGGCAAAGCAACTGAGCATGCGCACTGGCGCAAACTCCCTGGCGCACGCACACACATGGCCCCTCACCCCCCCCCCGGCGCGGCACACACACACGCGCGCGCACGGCCCCTCCCCCCCCGGCGCGGCACACACACACACACGCGTGCCCCCTCTCCCACCCGGCGCGGCACACACGCGCGCGCACCCCCAACCCCCCGGCGCGGCACACACGCGCGCGCACGCGCCCCCTCTCCCCCCTCCGGCGCGGCACACACACACATGCACACACACGCGCGCACGCGCCCCCTCTCCCCCCTCCGGCGCGGCACACACACACATGCACACACACGCGCGCACGCGCCCCCTCACCCCCCGGCGCGGCACACACGCACACATGCGCGCGCGTGCCCCCTCACACCCCCCGCCGCGACACCCACGCGCGCGCGCCCCCCTCTCCCCCCTCCGGTGCGGCACACGCACGCGCGCGCCCCCTCACTCCCCTGGCGCGGCACACACGCGCGCATGTGCGCCCCCATCTCCCTCCCCTCCTCCCTCTTACCCTCCTCACGTTCCCTCCAAGTCACGCCCCCTTCTAAACCCCCCCCTCCCCTCCTCACTTTACCCCCAAGCCACGCCCCTTCTAAACCCATCCCCCTCCCCTCCTCCCTCCTCACGTTACCTCCAAGCCACGCCCCCTTCTAAACCCATCCCCCCTCCCCTCCTCCCTCCTCACCTTACCCCCAAGCCACGCCCCTTCTAAACCCATCCCCCCTCCCCTCCTCCCACCTTACCCCCAAGCCACGCCCCTTCTAAACCCATCCCCCTCCCCACGTTACCTCCAAGCCACGCCCCCTTCTAAACCCATCCCCCCTCCCCTCCTCCCTCTACCCTCCTCACGTTACCTCCAAGCCACGCCCCCTTCTAATCTGTCAAGGAAGAATAGAATCATAGAATCAAAGAGTTGGAAGAGACCTCATGGGCCATCCAGTCCAACCCCATTCTGCCAAGAAGCAGGAATATTGCATTCAAATCACCCCTGACAGGAGAGAAAGAGGGAGGAAAGAAAGAAGGAAGGAAGGAATGAGGTAGAAAAGGAAGAAAGGAGAGAAAGAGGGAGGGAAAGCAAGAAGGAAGGAATGAGGTAGAAAAGGAAGAAAGGAGAGAAAGAGGGAGGGAAAGAAAAAGGGGGAGGAAGGAAAGTTAGAGAAAGAAGGAAGGAGAGAAGGAAAGAAAAAAGGGAAAGAAGGAAGGAAAGAAGGAGCGAAGGAAGGGGGGAAGATGTAGAGAAAGAGGGAGGGAAGGAAAGATGGAAAGAGAGAAGGAAGAAAAGAGAGACTGCAGAAGAGAAAGAAAAAGGGGGAAGGAAGGAAAGCGATAGAGAAGGAAGGAAGGGAGGAAAGAAGGAGGAAAGAGAGAAGGAAGAAAGGAGACACAGCAGAAGAGAAAGAAGAAGGGGGAAGGAAGGAAAGCGAAAGAGAAGGAAGGAAGGAGAGAAGGAAAGGAAGGAAGGAAGGAAACAGGGAGTGAAGGAAGGAGGGAAAGAAGGGGAGATGGGGGAAGGTTGGCCACAGCAACGCGTGGCGGGTACAGCTAATTATTTTATATATTATTATAATTATTTATACTCTGATTTATCTCTCGAAGGAGACTCAAAGCAGCTATGTGTGTTATTAGTATTAGATTATATAATTATACTTATATATTATTTTATTATGTATTATTATTAATCTATTATTAGTATTTGAATGTTTTCTTATATTATTTTTATTGTTATTATTACTACTACTACTACTATATTTATTTATACCCCGCTTTATCTCTCCCAAAGCAGCTATCTTTATTTATTCTTTGCTTTATTTCTCCCACAGGAGACTCAAAGTGGCTATGTATCTTTTATTATCCTTATTATCTTTATTTATACTCCTCTTTATCACCCTGAAGGGGACTCATAGCGGCTTGGCATAAAAGCATCAGCATACAATTAAATTTTGTCGTAAGGAAAACAAGACCTTCACTGTCTGAGTCAATGAGGAAGACCATCTTAGAGAAAGATGGGAGTATGAGGGAAGTTTTTGTTCACTTCTGGACAGCACTATTGCAGCTTGAAATGCTCTTCAAATCTGAAAGCTATTAATCTAAATCCAACATGGGCCATCTCCAGCTCTCCCTCCAGGTATTTTGGACTTCAGCTCCCACAAGTGTGGGATTTGTGGGAGTTAAAGTCCAAAATACCTGGAGGGAGGGCCGAAGTTGGCCCATGCCTGGTTGAAATGCCAAGAAATCTGAGACTAGCCTGGCTTTCTGTGTGTGTCGTTCTTCTTGCTGCCCAGAAAGTGGGTTTCTTTCTACCTTGAACCTAGTGTTTTCTTGATTTCTGATCCTTCTCCCCATTCTCCCTAGAGGTGTGACTCCATCTCAGCAACAACAGATGCTCAGTATGCGGGCTCCTGGTCAAGCCTCACTCCTCAGGGCCAATCCCATGCTTCAGCGGGCCCTGCTCATCCAGCAAATGCAAGGTACTTGTTGTCTCCTTTTTTTAAACTCTCTTTTATATTTGGATCAGCTGATATTGAAGATGCTGACCACCATATGCCGGGATCCTTGGAAACTTTGTAAGAGGGGATGGGTCTTTTTCCATTTAATTGTTTGTGTTGCTTAGGAGGGTTTTAGTTTGGATCTCCCCAATCTACACAGTATTATCATTAATACTTTCACACATAATAGTATCAGTAATACATCCACACACAACATTAACATTAATACATCCACACACAATATCATCATTCATACATCCACACACAATATTATCATTAATAAATTCATACACAATATTATAATTAATACATTCACACACAATATTATAATTAATATATCCACACATAATATTATCATTAATACATTCATACACAATATTATCATTAATGCATCCACACACAATATTATAATTAATACATCCATCCATAATATTATAATTAATACATCCACACACAATATTATCATTAATACATCCACAAACAATATTATCATTAATACATCCACACACAATCTATATATACATAAAATGTAATGTTTGTTTGTGGTATTAACATAACTCAAAAACCACTGGGCGAATTGACCAAATTTGGACACAATACATCCATCAGGCCAATGAGTGACCATCTCTCATAAAAACACTGAAAAACACAGTGGAAGAGACTTAAAAAGCCAAAAAAAAAAACAACATTACCATGCATGCGTAAAACCACATATATACACATACACACACACAAAACACATATATATAGACTGGGCCACAACAACGCGTGGCAGGGGACGGCTTGTATCTATATACATAAAAATGTAATGTTCGTTTGTGCGATTAACATAACTCAAAAAACCACTGGACGAATTGACACCAAATTTGGACATAATACACGTATTAGGCCAACAAGTGATCATCATTCATAAAACACTGCAAAACACAGCAGAAGATACTTAAAAAGCCAAAAAATAAAAAAGTATTACAGCTTATGCGCAAAACCACATATTTATATGCAAACATACATATATAAACATATACACAAATATATACACACACATATACACACACACAAGACACATATACACAGACTGGGCCACAGCAACGCGTGGCAGGGGACGGCTAGTCCATAATAAACGTGAGAATGTGTATGTATGTGTGTGGCTGGGGTGCCCACTTCCACAGACAGGCTCCTTCTTCCACAAACAGCTTTAACTCACCAAAAGCTCTCCTTTCAGTGACGTTGCAGGTTATAGTGAGTAACATGAACATGTCCTCCCCAAACACCATACTGCCCACCACCCAAGGAATGCTTTCATTTGGGGACCACTTCATCCTAGATTTTACGTGTTTCCTCTACCACAGACATCCCAGTGTTTCTTACTCTCAGAAACACATCGATTCACAAACTAGGGTGTTCCTAGAAATACACACACATTGTGCTTATATAACAAAATTTACATAAACAAAACACCGTTTTTTGCCTTTGGTGTATTGTCTTTTGAAGAGTCGCACTCCTTTCTTTATGGGCCTGGTTGTTCTGGTGTTATGCAATTAATGGATAATCATGTTACCTCTGTAATAAAGAACGGTCCGAGGAACTGACCGTTCCCTGAAGCGTTCTGGTCACCTGCTAGGTTTGGGTTACGCTTCAGAACACTTGATGCCCCGATACCTAGGTATCTGAGGAACGGTGGTGTGAATAATTCAGCAGGTGGTGCAACTTGTGTCTGAAATATTAAAAATTAACTAGGTATTTTTAATTACAAAAATGTGAGTCAAGAACTGAAAGGGTTAAACGGATGTAATGACTCAGCAAAAGCTGCAGTTTAATATAAGCAAGTGTTCCTGTAGCTAAGTCTGTGAGAGATCTCTGTGGAAGAAGGCCTCAGTGATAGTTCGCCTCAGTGTGAGAGAGGCATCAATCTGAGAGAACCCTCAGTGTGAGGTAGGCCTCAGTGTCAGTTTGCCTCAGTATGAGCAAACCACAGACCACCTACTGCAATGCAACCTGAGCCCTGCCACATGCACAATGGAGGACCTTCTTATAGCAACACCAGAGGCACTCCAAGTGGCCAGCTACTGGTCAAAGGACATTTAATCAACTACCAAGTGTGCAAACTTGGTGTTTTGTTTGTTCACTTGTAATGCAATACAACTGTTTGGTTCGCTCCTGACACAATAAATAAAATAAATATTGTGAGCAAGGCGGTAGCCTGAGAGAGGCCTCAGTGGGAGAGAGGCCTCAGTGTAAGATAGACCTCAGTGTTAGTAGGCCTCAGTTACTTGTGGACTAAATCCTCCAGAATCCCTGACTCACAATGAACAGTGTTGCTACTGCCTAATGCTTGGCACTTCGGCACAGAGAAGCATGGGTTACCCTCTTTCTCTTCTCTTTGGAAGGACTTTATTGGCTCCACAGTCTTAAGAAAGCTCATGGCATTCTTAAGGAGCCATCTCACCCGGCACACTCTTTCTTTGAATTATTGCCACTTGGCAGATGGTACAGGGTGACAAAGACAAGGACAAACAGACTGAAGATAGCTTTTATCCTAGAGCTGTGGCTATGTTGAACTCCATGGTTTCGAACTGATGTGGCATTGAGGGCTGTGCGGTGATGGTTAGGGTATGGAGGTGTGGCTGTGTTGTTTTGTGGTGTGTGCTACAGTGGTGTGTGCTATAGTGTGTGCTACTGTCATTGTTCAGTGACAGTAAAGTTATTCTATTATAGTTTATCACTTTTGATGAAAGCCCCAGGCAGGGAGGCTTGTGTGAAAACTAGAGAGGAATCCTGCATAAGGTTGTCAGGGTGAAGACTGGAAGCAGATCCTGTATGCTTAATAGAAAAGAAAATTTCATCACCCGCTGGATTTCTGCTTCTGCACAACCACAAAAGCTAGAGGGGTCATTTCTAATTATGAGCCTGGCAATGCTACACATGAGGAAAATAGAGAGCAGTTGTCCAATTCTGTTCAATTCACAGTTAGCCGTGACTGTTTAATGGAGCCTCTTGTCCCCGAGAGTTGGCTTTTGCATCAGTGGTGTCTTCTTCTTCTTCCTTCCCCTATTTCTCTCTGACTTCTGCAGGTAGCTTGAGAGGTTTTAATATGGCGGCCGCCCCTGTGTTGCAGCAGTTCTTTCCCCGGGCAACAAGGCACTCCCTTTTGGGTCCTCCTCCGGTCGGGGTCTCCTTAAAGCCTACTCGCTTGGCTTTCCCGTCAATGCCATTTCAGTGGCAGAACCGAACTTTTCGTAAGGTGAGTTGGACCTAAAAAGCAGACCTACAAAGCTGTAAGCACTTAATCTATATAAATAAAAATGTAATGTTCGTTTGTGGGATTAGCATAACTCAAAAAGCCCTGGACGAATTGACACCAAATTACTGGAAGGGTTTGGTGGGCAGTGTCCTTTGGTTTTGGAGTTGTAGTTCACCTACATCCAGAGATCACCATAAATAAAAATGTAATATTCATTTGTGGGATTAACAGAACTCAAAAAGCCCTGGACGAATTGACACCAAATTTGGGCACAATACACCTAACAACCCAATTTATGTCCTTCACTCAAAAAAAAAATATATTTTGTCATTTGGGAGTTGTAGTTGCTGAGATTTATAGTTCACCTACAATCAAAGAGCATTCTGAATCCCACCAACGATAGAACTGGGCCAAACCTCCCACACAGAACCCCCATGTGGGTCACAGCAACGCGTGGCAGGGGACGACTAGTAATAATAATAAACACGTCAAACTACTCTGGGACTTCTGAATTCAGACAGGCAGAGTTTTGGAGCACAATACTCCTGACCTCACAATCGTGTTAAAAAACAAAATATGGATTGTAGATGTTGCAATCCCAGGCAACAGCAGGATTAAAGAGAAACAAGTAGAAAAGCGGACACGATACCAGGATTTAAAGATCAAACTGCAAAGACTCTGGCACAAGCCAGTCAAGGCAGTCCCAGTGGTGATGGGCACACTGGGTGCAGTGCCTAAAGACCTTGGCCTGCACTTAAATACAATCGGCGCTGACAAAATTACCATCTGCCAGCTGCAGAAGGCCGCCTTACTGGTATCTGCACGCATTATTCGCTGATACATCACACAGTCCTAGACACTTGGGAAGGGTCCGACATGTGACTCAATACAACAGCGAGCAGAGTGATCTTGTCTGCTGTGGACCCATCTTGCTGTGTTTCAAATAATAATAAACTTAATTTATACCACGCCATCATCTCCCCAATGGGGACTCAGGGTGGCTAACAATACAGCAAATAAAATACAACACACAAATAATAACATCATAGAAATGTTGGTGATGTTCTCTTCTTCACCCCTGCAGGACTTCCCAAGGAATCCTGAGAGGAAGCGGGAAGCAGATTCCTCATCCTCTTCTACTCAAGGCCAAGGAGCGGATGAGACGGGGCCTCATCCGGACATTTCTGATCACAAAGTGGACTCCAAGCAGCCTTTAGACCAGACTTGTCCTCAGTCTTCAGGTAGGAGAACACCAGAATGGTTGAAACACTTCTGGTATGCACTCGCTTGTAAGAGAACGACAGGGAAGGGATGGGGGGCATACTTTCCAAGACAATGCGACATTTCCAGCATCCCTCCCTCATCTCCTGCATGTTCTCCCCAAATCCCATCTGCCTCTTCCAGTGGAGAACAGTTACTTCTCCCACTCATGCCCCAAAAGCGTTGCTGAGCAAAGGATAAGAGACATTCCACTTGCAGACAGACAATCTGGCGTGTAGGCATCAGTGGCACAGAGAAACCAATTTGGTTTGGTATTTTGTAAGGCCGTTTCCCTGTGTTGATCCAATTCAGGGCCATGAGATCTTGGACTGTATTTTGATTTCCAGGCAAAGAAATAGTACAACTGGGTTGCTGTGCATTTTTCAGGCTGTATGGTTATGTTCCAGAAGCATTCTCTCCTGACACTTCACTCATATCTATGGCAGGCGCCCTCTGAGGTTGTGAGGTCTGTTGGGAAACTAGGCAAATGGGGTTGATATATCTGTGGAATGATATCCAGGGTGGGAGAACCTATAAAGCCCTAAACGGTTTGGGCCCCGGCTATCTTTGCGATTGCATCTCCCTCTATGAACCGGCACGAACTTTAAGATCTTCCGGGGAGGCCCTCCTTTCGCTCCCACCACTGTCACAAGCACGGTTGGTGGGGATGAGAGAGAGGGCCTTCTCGGTGGTGGCTCCCCCCGTCACTGGAACACCCTTCCTGGAGAAATAAGGTAGGCCCCATCCCTCCCCTCCTTTCGTAAGAGCCTGAAGACCTGGTGGTTGAAACAAACCTTTGAGAACGACTAGTTTTAGCTCTGCCCCAGATACTGTTGAAATTGGCCTAAAAAACAGGAGGGATGAAGCCGATCTTACCTCGTTGGGAAGTGAGTTCCACGGGCGGGGGGGCTACAGCCGAGATGGCCCTGCCTCTCGTCCCCGCCAGACGTATTTGTGACGCTGGCGGAAGCGAGAGCAGGGTCTCCCTGGATGACCTTAAACTGCAAGGCGGGACGTAGTGGGAGATGCGTTCGGACAAGTAAGCTGGGCCAGAACCCTATAGAGCTTTATAGGTCAAAACCAGCACTTTGAATTGAGTTCGGAAGTGGATCGGCGGCCAGTGGAGCTGACACAATAAGGTTGTGGTGTGCTCCCTGTATGTCACTCCAGTTAGTAATCTGGCTGCAGCCTGTTGGATAATTAGGAGGAAATGACAATTGACAATGTTGACAATGGCTTGGAAATTGGTTATGTATAAGTTTAATAATAATAATAATAATAATCCTTTATTTATACCCCGCTAACATCTCCCGAAGGACTCAGTGCGGCTTACAAGAGCCCAACACATCAATAAAACAACAGCATAACAAATACAACAAATAAACTCATAAAACAAGCAATAAACATTAAAACAATAGCAATTAACATTAGACAATGACACCATGACACATTTAAAACTAAGGCCGGGCCAATGTAATGATTAAAATTTTTAAAAATGCTGGACATGACAGGTGAAATGGATAGGTTTTTGGATATAGGTGCGGTGTGCATACAATCTTAAATCTCTAATCGAGTACTCATATTTATGTCATATTTATGCCTTAACAACAACACTTTATTTATAATGTAATACAATATACTACTACTAATAATGATGATATGATACAATTATTATTATTATTATTTATTTAAAACACTTATATTCCGCCCTTCTCACCCCGAAGGGGACTCAGAGTGGAGCACAACATATACATGGCAAACATTCAATGCCTGGGTACAATACATAAACATTAAAAAACATTTATCTAAATATTAAAATACACCATTTAAAATAACACAATTTAAAACCGTCCTAGCCATCCTCATCAAATCTAATTGACCCTGTCATCTTTCCCATTGTCACTTCATTGCCCTGTCCCGAAAGCTTGGTCCCACAGCCAATTACCGTATATATTTTATATTACATCTAGTATTACTAATAATATTACAATATAATGGTATAGTACATTATAGTAACATATAATACTGAAATTGTACTATGCTAATAATATAATATATTGTATGTGTGTGTGTGTGTATATATATGTGTGTGTGTGTGTGTGTGTGTATGTATATATATATAGAGAGAGACAGAGAGAGTCGCTCTGAGTCCCCTTCAGGATGAGAAGGGCAGCATATAAATGTCATGAATAAATAAATACTCAATCATATCATATGGCTAGATAATGGCCACCAGTCTGGTAATAGTTCATTAGACTGTAAGTATATTGTTTTAATATTTTTATGCTTTTAACTATTGTAATTATTGGTGTTTTGTATTTTATAATGCGGCATTGAACTGTTGCCAATTGGAAGCCGCCCTGAGTCCTCCCAGGGGTTGAGAAGGGCGGGGTAAAATTGTTCAAAATAAATAAATAAATAAACACTCAGAAAACAGGGGAATTCCAGACAGGAAACAATCAGGGCCAGCTAACACTCCCAACAAAGGATGCCAGGCTTTGAAGGAAGGAAGCAGCCAGGCTTTGAAGCTGCATGGCTATTAATTGCTAATCAAAGTGGCCAACTGTAACATTCACACTTGCCTCAAAGAGGCAAGAGTTCTTTCTCCCACCCTGGACATCATTCCACAGATATATTAACCCCATTTGCCTAGTATGGATGTCTGCCATAGATGTGGGTGAAATGTCAGGAGAGGATGCTTCCGGAACATGGCCAGGCAGCCTGGAAAACTCACAGCAACACAATGTCAACATTGGCAGTGTTCGCAAAGAATGCTATGATTTGTAGTCCAAAAATATAATGATTCCCATCTGACCTGCAGTGACATACATGGTGCCTGAGGATTTCTACTGCTTAGGTGGGAGGACTTCCTCAGCCCAATGTGATGAGGAAAAGAATTGAATCTTGGGCTGTCTTCATCCAAAAGCAGGGAATCTCATTCAGATTTCTGAATGGAAAGGAGCTCTCCCTGGTGCTGAACATCTGCGGGGCTTCCATAGTTCTTTCAAAACTTGACAGAAACCTCAATAGGCTCGCCACACGCCTGCCATGCAACTCCTTGACCACCGGTGGTAAAGGATGATGGCAGTTGTAGTCCAACAATGTCTGGAGGGGGTTACCACGTGGGGAACATTGGTTGTTCTGCAACATTAATACCCTTTTCTGGACCTACAGAGATTTTGGCAGAATCCTCTCCAGATGGCGAACCAGCCGGCAAGCGATTAAAAAGGTAATAATGACAACAACAATAATAATACTGGGAAGAAACTGCATCTAATCCAGGCCTGGGCAAACTTTCTATCTTGGGGGCCGCATACAAGCACTGCCTGCCAGGAGGGATGGCTTCCTGGTGATGAAAGGAAGGATGGAAGGAGAAAGAGAGAGAAGGATGAAGGGAAGAGAGAAGGAAGGAAGGTTGAAAGGGAGGAAGGGAAGAGAAGGAATGATAAAAGGGAGGAAAGGAAGGATGGAAGGAAGAAAGAGAAGGATGAAGGGAAGATAGAAGGAAGGAAAGGAAGAGAAGGAAGGATAAAAGGGAGGAAAGGAAGAAAGAGAAGGAGGAAGGGAAGAGAGAAGGAAGGAAGCAAGGGGACTCTAACTTCTCCTAGTGAAACATCCCCGAGGAAGAAGGAAAAAGGGAAGAAGAGAAGGATGGAAAGAAGGAAGGGAGTGAAGGGAGGGAAGAAAGAGAGACGGAAGGAAAAAAGGGAAGGAAGGAGAAAGAGGAGGAGAGGGAAGGAAGGAAGGACAAAAGGGTGGAAGGGAATGGAGAAAGGGGAGATGGAAATAGAAAATAGAAAAAGAAGGAAAGACAAAATGGAAGGAAGGAGCGAGGGAGAAAGAAGGATAGAGGGAAGGGAGAGAAGGAAGGATGGAAGGAGAAAGAGGGAGGGAAGGAGGAAGGAAAGAGAGAAGGAGGAAAGAGAATGAATGAAAGGCAAAAGGGAAGGGAGGGAGGAAGGACGAAAGGTAGAAGGGAAGGAGAAAGAGGGAAGGAGGAAGGAAGGAGAGAAAGAAGGAAGGATAGGTTGGTGTGAGAGAAAAGAGCTCAAGGGGCTGCATCCAGCCCCCGGGCCTGGGTTTGCTTATACCTGACCTAAACCAATACCAGTAAAACTGCCATGAAGGCTCCTTGTTGGCTGTAGTTTGTTAGGGCTGTTTGAGCTGGACCTTTGGACCTCTTCCTGCTCTCCAGTCCTGCAATTTCCCTGGACATACCACCTAAACTTCCCTGGGTTGTGCGCCTGTCCTTGCATCCAAGTGCTGCTCCCTTTCCTAATCCAACATAATTTTGCAACCAACATTCTCTTTCTTCTCTACTCCCCTGACTCCCAGCAATGTTGAAGAGTTTGTTGTTGAGGAAGCGCCTTGCCTTTTGCAAGTGGAGGAGCCCAACACAGAGTCCCACCTGGACGGTAAGCGCCTTCTCATTATTTTCTGTTGTGTTCTTGCTTCATTTTGTGATCAATATTCAGTTCTAAGGGTGGTAAAACTACTTCCAATGCATTCTTAAGCCTCTTCTACACTGCCAACTAAAAAACAGATTATCTGCTTTTGTACTAGATTTTATTTATTTATTTACAGTATTTATATTCCGCCCTTCTCACCACACAGGGGACTCAGGGTGGACCACAATGCACATATACAGGGCAAACATTCAGTGCCATAGACACACAACATATATAGACATATATATAAGAAAGGAGATTCCATCTGAACATTAGGAAGAACTTCCTGACTGCGAGATCCATTCAACAGTGGAACTCTCTGCCCCGGAGTGTGGTGGAGGCTCCTTCTTTGGAGGCTTTTAAACAGAGGCTGGATGGCCATCTGTCAGGGGTGCTTTGAATGCAATTTTCCTGTTTCTTGGCAGAATGGAGTTGGACTGGATGGACCATGAGGTCTCTTCCAACTCTATGATTCTATGAACCCAGCTTCAGATGATGGGGAGTTTTCCTGAGATTTCAAATTAGGTCTCAGGACGGAGGGAGTGAAAGATAGATTAATTAGGCATTCGCAGAGACTCTGTGAGAATTCCTGCTTCTTGGCAGAATGGGGTTGGACTGGATGGCCCATGAGGTCTCTTCCAACTCTAGGATTCTATGATTCTACAATGAGAGCTGTTCAGCAGTGGAACTCTCTTCCCCTGAGTGTGATGGAGGCTCCTTCTTTGGAGGCTTTTAAACAGAGGCTGGATGGCCATCTGTTGGGGGTGCTTGAATGCAGTTTTCCTGTTTCTTGGCAGAATGGGGTTGGACTAGATGGACCATGAGGTCTCTTCCAACTCCATGATTCTATAGACAGGCGCACAGAGGCTATTTAACCTTCCAGCTTCATGAAGGTATGGTTTTTGAATTCCGGGGGAGCTGTCACTTTACCATCCACTTGTGACACTGATGGAGTACTTCCTCATTCTTTTGCAGACTGTTGGAGAGTCTTATGGCATCGTAAATTATTTATTTATTTATTTCCTATATTTATACCCCGCCCTTCTTACCCCCGAGGGGGGACTCAGGCTGGCCTCACATACGATGCCAACATCATAAAAACATGCTCAAATTTGATATATATTTCTGTTTGCATAAGTTCAGGAATTACAAATAAATTGATAAATTATTGAAATACAAAGCAATGTCCCCACTATCCTTAAGCATACCATGTTAGGGGGCGAAATGAGCAAAGTCCTCTAGTGTGAGAAAATGTAAACAAAAGTTATTTCTAAAGCAAAGCTGTTTTTACAAAAACCATTGTGGGGATTTTGTGGTCATTCTATTAATTATTCACTAAGACCATATTTTATACACTTTAAAATTCAGTTAAATTAAATTAAGTGAAATTAGCCTCCCCACATAAGTGGTACCTAAATTTCCTACTTGACAGATGCAACTGTCTTTCGGGTTGCAAAGGTCGACAGCAAGCTAGACAGATGGTCGGGAGCTGACTCCCAACCAGCTGCGCCACAACCCAGTCCTTATATGAGTCTTCACAGTCTTATAACCCACTTCAAATCAGATAATTTTGGATTTTATCTGGCAGTATAGAAGGGACCTTAGTCTTCTAACTTGGATGCTCGAACTGCAGATCTGTGCGATATGGTTGCAAGGGAGATGGGATCTCTGTCTGTCTGTCTATCTCTTGATTGACCTATTAGCTCTCTAATTGAATGTATGCCCTTCCATTCTCCCATGGTGGCCATCGTTTCAGATGAATCATTACTTAGCAGGAAGAAAACCATAGACAGCTCCCTCCTTTGCCATTTTTGATGTCAGGATGAGATATTATCCCTCTCTGTACCTCTCTAAGCTTGGCAGGGGGCATGTTGCTTTCTCTACTGCCATTTCTCAAATCCTCCAGTACACTAACATCCTTTTTTTCGTAGCTCTTGCACTTCTTTATAAGTGGAAATCACCCTCCCCTAACCCTCCCCATCTTGCTTCAATACTCTTTCTGCTTCTTAGAGGGAGACAATGCGAAGGAAGCTTTTGCTGGAGATGCTTTAGAGGAAAAGGACTTTGTGGAGGAGCCAAAAACTTCAGAGGTGAGAGAACTGTTTCTACAAACAAAAAGGAAGGAAGGCATATTCTTGTGTGTTGTTGAAGGCTTTCATGGCTGGAATCACTGGGTTGCTGTGAGTTTTCTGGGCTGTCTGGTCATGTTCCAGAAGCATTCTCTCCTGACGTTTCACCCACACCTATGGCAGGCATCCTCAGAGGTTGTGAGGTCTGTTGGAAACTAGGCAAGTGAGGTTTATATATCTGTGGAATGATGTCCAGGGTGGGAGAAATAACAATAATAATAATAATAATAATAATAATAATAATAATAATAATAATTATTATTATTATTATTATTATTATTTATACCCCGCCACCATCTCCTCGATGGGGACTCTGAGCAGCTTACATGAGGCCAAGCCTGAAACAACAATTACAATAAAGAAAAACCAAGACACAACTGAAAACGCGAACAATAAACAATAACATCATAATTACATAAAACATATTGATACATAACAATGTAAAAATTACAATAGGCAGAACTCTTGCCTTTCTCAAATGATCCAAATTATCTGATTTGAACTGGATTATAGGGCTGTGAAGATTCATATAATCCAGTTCAAAAACAGATAATCTGTTTTTTATTTGGCAGTATAGAAGGGGTCTTAATTACCTTTGGATTGGACTATTACAATGCATTCTACATGGGACTGCCCCTTGAAGACGGCCCAGAAACTTCAATTGGTCCAACGATTGGCAGCCAGACTGCTAACTGGAGCAAATTACAGGGAGCGGTCAGCCCCCTGTTTAAGGAGCTCCATTGGCTGCTGCTCATTTTCCGTTCCCAATTCAAGATGTAGGTTATCACCTGAACAGTTTGGGAACCACTTCATTACCGCATTTCCTTCTACGAACCTGCACGATCTCTTCAATCCTCCGGGGAGGCCCTCCTCTCCCACCTCCACGGCTTGTGGGGACAAGGGAAAGAGCCTTTTCTGTGGTGGCCCCTCAACTTTGGAACTTGCTACCCAGTGAGATTAGGCAAGCTCCTACCTGGCAGCCTTTAAGAAAGGCCTAAAAACCTGGCTTTTCTGACATGCCTTTGACAAATCTCCATACCTCCAACACAAATCTCCATACCATGTCCGTCCCAGTATAGATCTGTCCTCTTGATGCACTTTCTCTCATCCCTTAGTGAAGGTTAACCCCATTGCTCGCCTCTTCTGCGTTTCCCCTCAGACACATGACTCCATTTATTCATCTCACCCAGGGTTTTATAAATTTTATCTTTTGCATCTGACCCGCCCACTGTGTTTTAATTCCTCTACCATTTTATTTTGCGTTGTGTTATTGTTATATTTTGTGATTGTTTGCATTTTACTTTGATGTTATCATTTGCTTGTTTGTATTTTACTTAGCTTTATTGTAATTCTTGGGCTTGGCCTCATGTTAGCCGCCCTGAGTCCCTTTGGGAAGATGGTGGCAGGGTATAAATAAAGATTATTATTATTATTATTATTATTATTATTATTATTATTATTATTTGAAATGCAATAAGAGTCCACAGCACTCTGCTGGCTGTTGTATTGGATCACACGTCGGACACTTCCCAAGTGTCGAGGACTGTGTGATGTATCAGTGAATAATGTGTGTAGATCCCAGTAGAGTGGCCTTTTGCAGCTGGCAGATGGTAATTTTGTCAGCACCGATTGTGTTTAAGTGCAGGCCAAGGTCTTGAGGCACTGTACCCAGTGTGCCGATCATCACTGGGACCACCTTCACCGGTTTGTGCCAGAGTCTTTACAGTTAGATCTTTACATCCTCATATTGTGTCAGCTTTATTTTTATTTATTTTATAAATAAAATATTTATTATTATTATTATTATTATTGGTACTACTACTAAATAAATAAATTGTCATATCGTGTCAGCTTTTCCTGTTGTTTCTCTGCTGATCCATACTTTTGGGTTGTTGTAGGTTTTTCGGGCTATATGGCCATGTTCTAGAGGCATTCTCTCCTGACGTTTCGCCTGCATCTATGGCAAGCAACCTCAGAGGTAGTGAGGTCTGTAGCCTGACTACCTCTGAGGATGATTGCCATAGATGCAGGCGAAACATCAGGAGAGAATGCCTCTAGAACATGGCCATATAGCCTGAAAAAACGTACAACAACCCAGTGATTCTGGCCATTAAAGCCTTCGACGATCCATACTTTGTTTTTTAACACGATTGTGAGGTCAGGAGTATTATGCTCCAAAACTCTGTCTGTCTGAATAATAATAATAATAATAATAATAATAATGGGTTGTAAGTTTTTTCGGGCTATATGGCCATGGTCTAGAGGCATTTCTCGTGACATAATAATAATAATAATAATAATAATAATAATAATAATAATAATAAGCAGCTGTACCTGCCATGCGTTGCATGGCCAACTTTCCCACCCTCTTTCCTCCTTTCTTTTCTCTCCTTCCTTCCTTCCTTCTCTTTTTTTCTTTTTTCTCTCCTTCCTTCCTTCCTTTCCTTCCTTCCCTTCTCTCTTCCCTTCCCCCCTCCTTTTATTTCCCTTCCTCTTTTCCCCTTTCTTCCTTCCTTTACCTATTCTTGGACTGCACTCCCAGCGAAGGCTTTTAAACAGAGGCTAGATGGCCATCTGTTGGTGTGCTTTGAATTTGATTGTCCTGCTTCTTGGTAGAGGATTGGACTGGATGGCCCACTAGGTCTCTTCCAACTCTATGATTCTATGATTCTAAAACAATAACATAAGGTGTAAACTCTAAACTAATATGGGAATCTGCTATTGCAACACATCCAATGAGATCAGAGTGAAGAGAGGGGCCAGGCAGGCAGTTCCATCTTGTCTCCTGCACTGTGCTTATAATATAATGATAATATAATATAATATAATATAATATAATATTTTGTATATACATATAATATTGATAATATTATAATGCAATACAATATACTACTACTGATAATAAAATGATATTATAATTATATATTTCATATAAAATGTAATATTACTAATAATATTACAGTATAATGTTATGATACAATGTAATATATAATCTTAATATTGTGCTATGATAATAATATATTGTATTCACTTTTTACTTGTAAGCCGCTCTGAGTCCCCTTCGAGGTGGGAAGGGCGGCATATAAATGTCGTAAACAAACAAGCAAATTAGAACCAGTGCAAGAACAGGTTAGGATGAAGAATGTTTCAGTCAACATAGAAGCGTGTTGTAAGAACTGGTCCTGGAGTCTAGAAGAGCCTTGGCTCCCAATGTAACCATAATTTTCACAATTAATATGTTTTTATTTTATTGTTGAAGGCTTTCATGGCCGGAATCACTGGGTTGTTGTAGGTTTTTTCGGGCTATATGGCCATGTTCTAGAGACATTCTCTCCTGATGTTTCTCCTGCATCTATGCCAAGCATCCTCAGAGGTAGTGAGGTGATAGTGACCTCACTACCTCTGAGGATGCTTGCCATAGATGCAGGCGAAACGTCAGAAGAGAATGCCTCCAGAACATGGCCATATAGCCCGAAAAAACCTACAACAGCCCACTGTTTTTATTTTATTTTCAATTTACATATTTATAAAAACAGTGAAACAAATGTATATTCATGAATACAGCATGAACTGATACAATACTTCCTAACATCTATACTATGTTCGTATTTGATTATGCCCTCCCCTCCTCCCATTTTGGTGACATTCTGTTTTGAATTCCACCTTTGCTTTTCCCAGGTGGTGAGCTCTTCCGGTTCCTTGAAAGTGACAATTCAGCAGAGCAGCGAGAGCCGGGCGATCAGCACCACCGCCCTGAAGCCCACCCATTGGACCTCTGAAATGGGCACGGCCGAGACCAGCCCGGAATCTGTCCTGAAATTCTACTGCTACATCTGCAAGACAGACTGCTGCAACCATCAGGTACTGAGGTCCTGAGGTGGCCCATCAGAATACGCAGAACATCATTGCCTAGAGTAGAAGGGATTTTGTCTGCATCAATAGGAGTCTAGTGTCTAGATCCAGGGAAGTCATGCTCCCCATTCTGCCTTGGTTAGACCACATCTGGAATATTGTGTCCAATTCTGGGCACCACAATTAAAGAGAGATATTGACAAGCTGGAATGTGTGTAGAGGAGGGCGACTCAAAGGATCAAGGGTCTGGAGAACAAGCCCTATGAGGAGCGGCTTAAAGAGCTGGGCATGTTTAGCCTGCAGAAGAGAAGGCTGAGAGGAGGGCCATGGGCAAGCTGTGGTTCTAAAGTACTTACAAAACTAAAGTTCTGGTGGTGAAAACTAGGGGGCGCTGGTGCTTTGCTTCCACAGTGTTGCTGATGTTCTGGTGGTGAAAATTTCAGAACTCGAACAAAACTTTCAAAATTTCATTATTATTTCGTTATTGGCGATTTTTATGACAGAACCAATTAAGAACGCCATTTATAACAAAATTTTGAAAGTTTTGTTCGAGTTCTGAAATTTTCACCACCAGAACTTCAGCAAAACTGTGGAAGCAAAGCACCAGCTCCCCCTAGTTTTTACCATCAGAACATTAGTTTTGTAAGTACTATAGAACCATGGATTGCCCATGCCTAATAAATATGTGAGGGGAAGTCATAGGGAGGAGGGAGCAAGCTTGTTTTCTGCTGTCCTGGAGACTAGGACGCAAGGGAGCAATGGCTTCAAACTACAATAAAGGAGATTCCATCTGAACATTAGGAAGAACTTCCTGACTGTGAGAGCTGTTCAGCAGTGGAACTCTCTGCCTCGGAGTGTGGTAGAGGCTCCTTCTTTGGAGGCTTTTAAGCAGAGGCTGGTTGGCCATCTGTCAGGGGTGCTTTGAATGCGATTTTCCTGCTTCTTGGCAGAATAGTTGTGGAGTGAATGGAGCACAAGGTCTCTTCCAATTCTAGGATTCTATGATTCTATACTAGTTTGGCAGGAGCTGGGGCTAACAGCAAGAGCTCACCCTGTCCCCGAATTTAAACTGCCAACCTTTAGGTCAGCAGATTCAACAGTTTAACCTGCTGTTCCACCGGGGGCTCCGTTTAGGTTCTTACTTTTTAGTTATTATTCTTTAGTTATTATTGGTTATAAGTATGGTAGTTATTATATGTTCAGAGCACCCGGTGGCTCAGTGGGTTAAAGCGTTGAGCTGCTGAACTTGCAGGCTGAAAGGTTGCAGGTTTGAATCCGGGGAGCAGCGTGAGCTTCTGCTGTCAGGTCTCTTCCAACTCTATGATTCTTTGATTCTATGATTCTTCTGTGAGAGTTGTTCAGCAGTGGAACTCTCTGCCCTGGAGTGTGGTGGAGGCTCCTTCTTTGGAGTCTTGTAAACAGAGGCTGGATGGCCATCTTTTGGGGTGCTTTGAATGCAATTTTCCTGCTTCTTGGCCGAATGGGGATGGACTGGATGGCCCATGAGGTCTCTTCCAACTCTTTGATTCTATGATTCTATATAGGTAATAATAATGGAGAGTATATACGCTAACATCTAGGTAATAATAATAATGGAGGGTATATACGCTAACATAGAGGTAATAATAATAATGGAGGGTATATATGCTATATATATATTTTCCTGCTTCTTGACCGAATGGGGATGGACTGGATGGCCCACAAGGCCTCTTCCAACTCTGTGATTCTGTCTGTCGAGGGGGGCTTTGATTGTGCTTTTCCTGTATGGCAGGAGGTTGGACTGGATGGCCCATGTGGTCCAACTCTGTGGTTCTATGATTCTACCCAGTTTGAATCCCCAGATGTCATTGAACGACACTCACATCCCTTTTGATTATCTGGGAATAATGGGAATTGGAAAGTGGAATGGGTAGATGGTGGCAGGGTATTAAATAAAGATTGTTGTTGTTGTTGTTGTTGTTGGAGTTGGAGTTGGAGTTGAAGTCCAAAACAGCTGGAGGGAGGGCCCGAGTTGGCCCGTGCTTGTGCTAACCGCCACTCTCTCTTGTCTGTGCCAGAATTTCCAGGCCCACATGGCCGGCGTTCAGCACCAGCAGCGGCTCCAGGACATCCAGCACATGAGCAACGTCTGCTTCGTCTCCTTGCTGCCCGTGATGAAGGAGCAGAGCCCTCTGGTTGGGATGGATGGGTAAGTGCCGGCTGCAAAGCTCCGCAGCCTAGATCTCTCCATCTTGTAAGCTTGTCCCTTGCTGCTTCCTGGGGATGATGGGAGTTTGCTCGGGAACAGTCCATGTGGATGTTGCGTTCAGTTCTGAAGTATTCAAACAAATGCCACTTTCTAAATGCCAATATACTCCACTATCCTGATTTGAGACTTTTTCCCAGAGCTTGGTTCAGGTTTTCTTAAAGGGGCAGTATCTTAAATGACAACTCTAGAATCAGGACAGTAAGTAAAGAACAGCACTCAAAAACAGGAGAACTACAGACAGCAATCAATCAAGAGCTAGTTCATACCTCTGAAACAGAGGGTACCTCAAGGCAACAAAGGCCAGGGTACCTCTGTGCAAATACCCTCACTGATTGACTTTGCAACTGCAAGGCTACTCAAGCTTGCTAATGCAAGCTTTCACACTTGCTTCAAACAGACAAGGGTTCTTTCTCCCACCCCGGAGAGTATTTCACAAATGTCAATATAGACACACGCCACTTGCCTCTATGTAAATACCCTCGCTGATTGACTTTGCAACTGCAAGGCTACTCAAGCTTGCTAATTCCAGCTTTCACACTTGCTTCAAACAGACAAGAGTTCTTTCTCCCTCCCTGGACATTATTGCACAGGGATATATACACTCTGCTTTCCTAATTTCCAACAGACCTCTGAAGATACCATTAGCCACAGATGCAGGTGAAACGTCAGGAGAGAATGCTACAACTTTAATCTCAATGTTTAATTTGTCCGGTTTATGATCCCTGCTTTGTTTTCAATTGAGAAAAGAACAAGTGATACATGGATTGAAAAGACTCAGTCCATATCCAAAAGTGTGTTTTTATCATCTTCTAGTAAAATATTTTTAAAAAGTTGTACGCATGTGTTTTATATTAACAGTGCTGGTGAGACACATAATATTGATTTTATGGCTAAGGGTATGGACCGGTGGAAATTGGAACATGGGCTGCAATTGTCCCCTGGGCCAGACTTTGGACGTGGCTGCTATAGAGCGATGTGGATATGAGGAAATTGTGAAACTGGAGTTCTGACAGTTCTCGTATGTTTCACGGGGTCCCTTCTGTCCTTCCAGAGACTCTCAGAAGCGATGGTGCAACACTTGTCAGGCCAATTTCGTAGGCGACCTGATCAAGCATCGACGGACTCAGGAGCATAAGGTAAATTTTGGCACAGGCTTTGTTTATTTGCATTGTTCATCTGGATTATACGGCAGTGTAGAAGGTATCTCAGGTACTACATCTTGTTTTGAATGGCTTTGGTTTTTAGCTGAAGCAGTTGTTGTTACTAATATTATTGTTGTCTCGCTTTTTCTCCCTTGAAAAGAGACTCAAAGTGAAAATGCGACTTCTATTTTCTGTGCTGGTCTATGACCGAAATAAATTATTTGATTTGACTCAAAGTGGCTAACAATAAAAGCAATAGTGTTCCCTCACTTATTGTGGGGGTTATATTCCAGGACCCCCCACAATTGGTGAAAAACTGCGATGTAGGGACGTTATATTTATTTTAATATTTATACATTACTAGCTGCCCCCTGCCATGTGTTGCTGTGGCCCAGTCTGTTGATCTGGAAAATAAAGTAATGAGAAAGTGTTGGTTTCTAATATATGTAATTTCTTTATGCTTGTGGGTAAACAGTATTTCTTGCTGTTTCTTTGCCAGTGTTGATGTGGAGACTGTCTGGTTTGCCTATTCTGGAACAGGTGACATATCATTGTCTTTAGGGGTCCCTTTCAAATCTATATCTCTCTCTGTGTGAATCATATCTATGTATTTATTATGGCTCTTTGTCAGGAGGGTTTTGATTACGTTTTCTTGCCCTGGTGAAGGGAGTTGGACTGGATGGCCTTAAGTATTTTCTGTTGGTCATGGGGGTTCTGTGTGGGAAGTTTGCCCCGATTCTATCGTTCGTGGGGTTCAGAATGCTCTTTGATTGTAGTTGAACTGTGAACCCCAGTGACTACAACTCTCAAATGTCAAGGTCTATTTCCCCAAACTCCACCAGGGTTCACATTTCGCCATATTGAGTATTTGTGCACAGTTTGGTCAGATCCATCATTGTTTGAGTCCACAGTGCTCTCTGGATGTAGGTGAACTACAATTCCAAAGCTTAAGGTCAATGGCTACCAAATCCTTCCAGTATTTTATGTTGATCTTGGGAGTTCTGTATGCCAAGTTTGGTTCAATTCCATCGTTGATGGAGTTCAGAATGCTCTTCGATTGTGGGTGAACTATAAATCCCAGCAACTACAACTCCCAAATGACAAAATCATAATTTTTTTAGTGATGGTCACTCCTTGTGTTGTGAGACGTTTTGTTGCCAAATTTGGTGTGATTTCGTTCATTGGTTCTTTTGTTTTTAAGGTACTCATTATGCACAAAGCATTTTTATATATATAGATTTTAGTAGTTATACACTTTTCCTATCATGGTCAACTGTGAATCGCACATATGGAAATTCCTGCTCCTCCGCAGAACAGCTTTTGGAACCTTCTAGAGAGTTATTAAACATTTTTGGCGGTAACCCTGCCCACTTTCCCCAGTGATTATAAGTAGCCAGTGGGAGGGGCTACAGCCTCCAGTTCTTTTCATCCACAGCCGAAGCAGGAAAGGCCCTTCAAGGCTGGAGGGAGGGAGGACTGAGGAGGGAAAGTGCCTCAGCAAAACCCGTGAAACAGCGAAAATACTGCAATATATATTTAAATTAATATTTTTTGAAAACCGCGTGTGATGAAGTGTAAATTTTTTAACTTGTAGTTATGTATAATTATAGATAGATGTTTTAAAGCATAAGTATTTAAAGTTACATAACTAAGGGGATGGTAGCCAGCTTAGCTCATGTTGAGCTGTGTTACCATGGAAACAGGGGCGGAGCCAACTGCCACTTGGCAGGGTAGCCATTTTAAAACAGTCAGTCTGTAGTCAGCGAACTACAGGAGTGGCTGGTTCTGTTGTGTAGTGAGAACCAGGGAAGTAATCTGTACTTTAAAACCACAGGGAAAGGCTGGTTCTGTAGTAGTAAGAATTAGGAAGGTTTTGGCTTTTAACCTGAGTAGTTTAAATAAGTCGAGTTGACCTATTTATATTAATAGTTAGTGTATGAGAGAAAGGGTGAGAGAAACCCAGTGAGGATCTCTATTGCAACAGAAACATCACAAGGAAAGAATAAGCTTGTTACTGAAATAATCTATTAAGGGAAAGAAACACAGTTTGAAGAAAAATAAGTTTGAAACCTGTTTAGTGGAAGGAAGAGTCCCTTCCAGAGTTGTTTCAGAAATGTTATAAATGTAACCTTTGAAGATATGTGCCTCTAAGAGTAAGAAACATTGAAACCATCAAGCTCCTTCTACGTTTCAATAAACTTGTTACAGTTTTTCCTAAAGCTCTGTCTCTATTACAGTTCCTTTCTAGGTTGGGTCACGCTACACATTAAAGAAAGACCAAGTCAATATCGCTGACTATTAGCTATGCTATCAGATTAATAAACCCTTATAAAGTGGTGGCTCCTTTACCAACTCTTTACCAATTAGTGGCTTCGTCACAAATTGGTGAAATTGTTACACTGCGAAACAGCAAGTCTGCAATAAGCGAACCGCGAAGTAGCGAGGGAAAACTGTACACTATAAAGCGGCATGGTACACAAAGACTTCCCTCAACCATAACTTTTTCATCTCTCTCCTTGCAGCTTGCCAAACGCTCTTTACGTCCCCTTTGCACGGTATGCAGCCGCCACTTTAAGACCCCGCGGAAATTTGTGGAGCACATGAAATCTGTTGAGCACAAACAGAAGGCCAAAGAGGTAATGGGGACGGTGGAGATGTTGAAGAAGATGGTGGTGGGGAGGACAATAATGCTCACATATTGCTCTTAGCAATTTTTATTTATTTATGTATTACTTATGACATTTATATGCTGCCCTTCTCACCCCGAAGGGGACTCAGAGCGGCTTACAAGATATATATACACATACAATATATTATTAGCATAGTACAATATCAGTATTTTATATTATTATATCATACTATACCATTATATTGTAATATTATTAGTAGTATTACATGTAATATAAAATATATAATTATATTATTACTAGTATTATATTGTATTACACTATAATATTATAAATTTTATATGGATATACAATATATTTATATTTATATTATATTATTAGCATAGCACAGGAGACAAGGCGAAACTGTTACCTGGCCCCCTCTCTCTTCACTCTGGCCCAGAGCAGAAGTTGGTGCTGGAGGTCCCCAACTGATGACATATGCAAGAGACAAGATGGAACTGTCCCCTGCCCCCCCCCCCTTTCACTCTGGCCCAGAAAAGCAGTTGGTGCTGGGGGGGGGGGGTCCCTTGGAGTCTGAGGGAGTTTCCTTTTTTGGAGGCTTTTCAGCAGAGGCTGGAGGGCCATCTGTTGGGAGGGCTTTCATCGCATTTTCTGGCATTTCCACTTGGGATATTTTATTGCCATTACTAAAGCCATTCCTCCAATAAGCGCAAGGCAATATATTGTGATTGTGCCTATTGTAATTTTATATTGCTATGTATTCACATGTTTTATGTAATTATGTTGTTGTTGTTGATCGTTTACGTTTTCGGTTTGTGTTTTCGGTTTTACTCTATTGTAATTTGTTGTTTGGACTTGGCCTCATGTAAGCCGCTTCGAGTCCCCATTGGGGAGATGGTGGTGGGGTATTATTATTAATAATAATAATAATAATAATAATAATAATAATTTATGTGTCTCTCCTCCTCTTCACTTTTATCCTTTGACAAGGAGACGGGAAAGAGTCAATGCGAGTGGCCCAAAGTTGCTGAGGCCTCTTCTACACTGCCATAGAATCCAGATTCTCAAATCAGATCATCCACATTATCTAATTTGAACTGCATTATCCATATCTACACTGCCATGTAATGCAGTTCAAAGCAAATCTGGATTTTGTATGGCAGTGTAGAAGGGATCCGAGAGGGCACTTGAACCTAGACCTGCTGAGTCGCAACTGATTTTGCAAGAAGGCAAATAGAAGAGTTGTGTGGCCAGCTATTTATTTATTTACTAGCCATCCCCTGCCACGCATTGCTGTGGCCCACATGGGGGTTCTGTGTGGGAGGTTTGGCCCAATTCTATCGTTGGTGCTCTGAACTATAAATCCCAGGTGAACTATAAATCCCAGCAACTACAACTCCCAAATGTCAAGATTCTATTTTCCCCAAACTCCACCAGTGTTCACATTTGGGCATATTGAGTATTCGTGTAGAGTTTGGTCCAGATCCATCATTGTTTGAGTCCACAGTGCTCTCTGGATGTAGGTGAACTACAGCTCCAAAACCAAAGGACACTGCCCACCAAACCCTTACAGTATTTTCTGTTGGTCATTAATTTTACTATATTTATTTACTATATTTGTATACTGCTCTTCTCAGCCCTCATGGCGACTCAGAGCGGTTAACAAAGCAAATACAATACTTAAACATGATAAAAACAGTTAAAAACAAGTTAAAAGAATAACATTATAACAATAAATAAACATCATAACATCTCATCTCGTCTCATAGTTAAAATCAAGGAGAGAACTGTGTGCCAAGTTTGGTTCAATTCCATCGTTGGTGGGGTTCAGAATGGTCTTTGATTGTAGGTGAACTATCAATCCCAGCAACTACAACTCCCAAATGACAAAATCAATTTTTTTGAGTGGAGGACGTACATTGGGTTGTTAGGTGTCTTGTGTCTGAATTTGGTGTCAATTTGTCCTGTGGTTTTTGAGTTCTATTAATCCCACAAACCAACATTACATTTTTATTTATATAGATTTATTTAATGCATTTCTACCCTGCCCTTCTCCCCCCGAAGGGAGGCCTCACACAAGCATCATATGGTGCTATCAGCATATAAACAATCAAAAATTACATTTAAAACAGTCAAAATCATTAAAAACAAATTCATTAAACAATAAATTAAACATGCCAATTAAAACCAGACTATTTACTTTCAGACTGTTATGACATGTCTTTTTCTGTCTTGCTGACACTCTGTCATGAGTGGATGGATGAATGAAATTGTATGACTGGGGTCTGGTCAATGCCCTATTAAGGCTTGCCAAGGCTGAAGGCACCATCCTAAGACATTTGGAACCTGGAAAACTGCACTGTGGAGAACTTACTTACTCACTTAGGCAATCCCCCATTGTCCGAGTAAGATTGCCCCCCAAGTTTGGTGTCTTGGCGGTGGGTATGTAGGTGATTGTGCAGCCCTATTCTTGACCTGCATGTTCTCCCGCAGTGAGGGCATCGGTTTCCAGGTGGAAGGCGATCCCAGTCGGGGTTGGCTTGACATGCCTTCCTCTTGGCATGTTTCTCTCTTTCACCCTCCATTTGTGCCTCTTCAAATTCTGCAGCACTGCTGGTCACAGCTGACCTCCAACTAAAACACTCAAGGGCCAGGGCTTCCCAGTTCAGTGTCTATGCCACAGTTTTTAAGGTTGGCTTTGAGCCCATCTTTAAATTTTCCTATCCTCCAACATTCCATTTCCTGTTCTTGAGTTCGGAGTACAACTACTACTTTGGGAGACTGTGATTGGGCATTCGAACAACGTGGCTGGTCCAGCGGAGTTGATGGTGGAGGAACATCGCTTCAGTGCTGGTGGTCTTTGCTTCTTCCAGCATGCTGACACTTGTCCGCTTGTCTTCCCAAGAGATTTGCAGGATTTTGCAGAGGCAGCGCTGATGGAATCGTTCCAGGAGTTGCATTTGATGTCTCTAGACAGTCCACATTTCGCAGACATATAGCAGGGTTGGGAGGACAATAGCTTTATAAACAAGCCCCTTGGTCTCCCTACGGACAGTGACAAATGCAAGAGACTCCACTAAGGCAAAAAAAAAAAAAAAAAACGAAATGCAAAGAATACAGAATGAGGGACGCATGGCTCGAGAGCAGTACATGTGAAAAAGATCCTGGAGTCCTCGTGGACAACAACATGAGCCAACATTGTCATGTAGCGGCAAGAAAAGCCAATGGGATTTTGGCCTGCATCAATAGGAGCATAGTGTCTAGATTAGGGGAGTCATGCTATCCCTCTATTCTGCCTTGGTTAGACCACACCTGGAATATTATGTCCAATTCTGAGCACCACAATTGAAGAGAGATATTGACAAGCTGGAATGTGTCCAGAGGAGGGTGACTAAAATAATCAAGGGTCTGGAGAACAAGCCATATGAGGAGCAGCTTAAGGAGCTGTGCATGTTTAGCCTGAAGAAGAGAAGGCTGAGGTGAGATATGATAGCCATGTATAAATATGTGAGGGAAAGTCATAGGGAAGAGGGAGCAACCTTGTTTTCTGCTTCCCTGGAGTCTAGGAGGCAAGGGAGCAATGGCTTCAAACTACAGGAAAGGAGATTCCATCTGAACATTAGGAAGAACTTCCTGACTGTGAGAGCTGTTCAGCAGTGGAACTCTCTGCCCTGAAATGTGGTGAAGGTTCCTTCTTTGGAAACTTTTAAACAGAGGCTGGATGGACATCTGTTGGGGGTACTTTGAATACAATTTTCCTGCTTCTTGGCAGAATGGGGTTGGACTGGATGGCCCATGAGGTCTCTTCTAACTCTATGATTCTATATCTATATATATATATATATAGTCCCTACTTCGCAGATTTTCATTTTTCGTGGGTGGCTCTGGAACGTAACACCGTCAATAAGTGAGGGAACACTGTATAGTGTCTAGATCCAGGGAAGTCTATGATTCTATGATTAGGAAGAACCTTTTGACTGTGAGAGCTGTTCAGCAGTGGAACTCTCTGTCCCAAAGTTCCAAAGTTTGGAGACTTTTAAGCAGAGGCTGGATGGAGTGCTTTGAATGCAATTTTCCTGCTTCTTGGCAGAATGGGGTTGGACTTGATGGCCCACGAGGTCTCTTCCAACTCTATGATTCTATGATGGGTGTTTCAGCACATCTTAGCTGAATGACAAGTTGTCAATCAATCCAGAACGACAATGGTAAGAAGTTGCTACATAAAGAGACCCTTTTATCTCAGAAAAGTGTGGCAGTTCAGTGAGGAGTGCAGCGCCTGTCCACCCGCTGCCTCTTTACAAGATGCCCTGAATACAGAAGGCGGTGAGTATGGATGCGATTGAATGTCTGTGGAGTGAATGCTGAGTCAATGTGACTGTTTCCCCTTTTTCTGTGTAATCAATATAGCTAAAACCAGCCCTGGGTCTGTGAGTCCAATGCCATCTGTCCCACTGAAAACGGATTAAATAATGTTTTTGAGGTTCAAAAAGTGTTCATGACAACTCTCTTTGTCTGGTTAGGTGAGGCAGGGAGAGAAGGAACACAGTGGGCCAGAGGACTCTGAGGAGCTGATAACCGTGGACGCCATTGGCTGCTTTGAAGAAGATGACGACGAAGAGGAGGAAGAGGAGGGGGAGGAAGCCGGCATGGGGGAAGAGCTGGAGAACGAAGGGCTTCTCACCAAACAGGTGAGGATGTCATGGGTAGGTCTGGAGGCCTGACTCCTGATTGCTTAAGTCTGTGGCACTTGGAGTAAGGAATAGGATGAGGAACAGGGCAATGCACACAAATGGGCATTCCATTTACTTTTTGATTTACAGTGTTCCCTCACTTATTGCGGGGGTTCCGTTCCAGGACGCCATATTAATTTTAGGGATGCCATATTAATTTTAATATTTATACATTATTTTATATATTTTATATATTATTTTCTTATCCGGATTTGCTGTTTTGCGGGGTTTTTTTTAAAAAAAAATTTTTTTATTGGTTTACATATAAGAAGTTAAAATATGTCAGCGGGGGAGAAAAAGAAAGAAAAAAAAGGCATATAAGGTGCGGGGGAAAAGTATACATCGAAAGTTGGAGAACAATGTTGCCAAAGAAAAGACCTAAAGGAGAGTAAGATAAGTAGGGAAGGTAAGTAGGTGTGTATATATATATAAATACACACAAAAGGGGGCGGGGGAGGGGGCATTGTCTTGACTTCCGTTCATCTTCCACACAACACATTCTGTAATTTCTTGGTTTCCTGTTGTAGTCAACTGTGAATCGCACATTATGGTATCCCTGCGCCTGCGCAGGCCCAGCTTAAATTCCGATAAATTGTCCCTTTTATATTCTTAGTTACTCTGGATATATTCATCAATCATAGACCGATCTGTTTGTATTATACCTCTACCATTATTTTTCTTAAGTAGGAAGCTCAGTCTGTCCATATTTTTAATGTCCAGTACTTTTTGTATCCAAGTGTCTTTGTCTGGTATTATTTCTGATTTCCATACCTTTGCAAAGACCATTCTTGCAGCTGTTATAAAATAAGTAAATAACTTTTCTGTATTTAGGTCTGCAAAAACTTCTTCATCCCACATACCTAGTAGGTAATATTCAGGTTTCATCGGAAACTTCCTTCCTAAGATTATTTGGCATTCTTTATGAATCATTTTCCAGTAGCTTTGAGTCTTAGGGCACTCCCATCACATGTGGTAGTATGTCCCTGTTTTGCGGGTTTTTGAAAATATTAATCAGGAACATATATACATATGTGGTGGCAATGTAAATATGTAAATAATTTTGGGGCGAAAGTATTTAGAGAAATAGAAGATATAATGAACATTAAAATAGAAAGAAGTCCTAGTATATTTCATTCTTGATGATTTTTATGACAGAACCAATTAGGAACTGCCATTTATAATGAAATTTTGAAAATTTTGTTAGAGTTCTGAAATTTTCACCACCAGAACTTTAGCAACACTGTAGAAGCAAAGCATCGGTGCATCCTAGTTTTCACCACCAGAACTTTAGTTTTGTAAGTACTTTAGAACCATTTAGAACCATGAATTGCACATGTCTAATAAATATATAAAATAATGTATAAATATTAAAATTAATATGGTGTCCCTACTTTGCGGGTTTTCACTGGAACGAAACCCCTGCGATAAGTGAGGGAACACTGTAATGTGATTTGTAGTTTTACAAGATCCTTAGCTGTCTCTGCCCAAGAGTGCTGGAGCCTCCCTAACCTACAAATTCCATAGCTGACGCATCCGTGGAGCATGCTTTCTTTTGCCTTCGCATTTCAATGTCCCATCAGGGTGAAATTTATTTTCTCCACATTGTTTTTGTTTCTTGTCTAGCTTGGCCTGAAGGAAATGTCATCGAAAGACATTTGTGGGAGTGAGCGATACTGTCCAAATACTGTGTATGGTAAGTCAAGATGCAAAGTTTTCAGTCTGAGCTGCCAAAGGTGCCCTTCATTGCATTTCCTTCTATCCTGTGAAGGAACCTAGTAACAAAATTAGAACAAAATATCTGTTCCTGGTTTGATCACCAGATCTGGCTCTGTTTGCAAAACGTTTGGACTCCCCTGTCTTAAAGGAAAGTGTTCAATGACCCTGCTTTCCCCTCCCTTGTTCCACAGGCCCGGATTTCCTGGTCCCCGTGGCGGGCTTCCTCTGTAGGTTGTGCCACAAATTCTACCATCACGACTCAGCTGGCCGGCTCTCCCACTGCAAGTCCCTGATGCATTTTGAGAACCTCCAGGTGAGACCCTTCTGCCTCCCTCCCGAATGTGTCCCATGCAAACTGGATGCCCCAAATGTCTCTTCCTTCGCACTGTTAGGAATTGTGGGAGTTGGGAGTCCAAAACACCTGGAGGGAAGGTCAAAGTTGACCCAGGCCTGATCTACATCAGTGTTTCTCAAGCTGGGGTGGTGACCCTTGGGCGGGGGGGGTTGTGAGAGGGTGTCAGAAGGGTCGCCAAAGACCACCAGAAAACATAGTATTTTCTGTTAGTTCTGTGTGGGAAGTTTGGCCCAATTCTCTCATTGGTGGGGTTCAGTATGCTCTTTGATGGTAGGTGAACTATAAATCCCAGCAACTACAACTCCCAAATGTCAAGGTCTATTTCCCCCTGAGCTCCACCGCTGTTATCATTTGGGCATATTGAGTATAGGTACCAAGTTTGGTACAGATCCATCATTGTTTGAGTCCACCGTGCTCTCTGGATGTAGGTGAACTACAACTCCCAAATGTCAAGGTCTATTTCCCCCCGAACTCCACCATTGTTCTCATTTGGACATCTTGAGTATCGGTACCAAGTTTGGTCCAGATCCATCATTGTTTGAGTCCACAATGCTCTCTGGATGTAGGTGAACTGCATCTCCAAACTCAAGGTCAATGCCCACCAAACCCTTCCAGTATTTTCTGTTGGTCGTGGGAGTTCTGTGGGCCAAGTTTGGTTCAGTTCCATCATTGGTGGAGTTCAGAATGCTCTGATTGTAGGTGGACTATAAATCCCAGCATCTACAACTCCCAAATGACAAAATCAATCCCCCTACAACCTACCAGTATTCAAATTTTGGACACATGGGGTATTTGTGCCAAATTTGGTCCAATGAATACACCCTGCATATCAGATATTTACATTACAGTAGGAAAATGACAGTTCTGAAGTAGCAACGAAAATAATGTTATGGTTGGGGGTCACCACAACATGAGGAACTGTATTAAGAATTAATGCAGTTTGACATTACTATAACTGTTTGTGTTGTGGCATCATGGGAGTTGTAGCTTTACAACATGTTTAGCCTTCCCTTCCAAAGAGTTTCACCAAACCACCGCTCTCAGGATTCTATATCATTGAGTCGTGGTTTCAAACTGTCCAAATTTATTTATTATGTATTTACATTGTAGAAAATTGTGTTAGGTGGACATATAGGGTCAGGGCTGGCTCTGTCCACAATTTATTTATTTATTATTTACAGTTTTGATTTGTGCCCTTCTCACCATATATAGACAGACACACAGAGGCTTCACTTCACACACTTTGCGGCTTCATGAGGGTATGCTTTTTGAATTCCCGCCACCAGGGGAGCTGTCGCTTCACCATCCACTTGTGGCACCAATGGAGTACTTCCTCATTCTTTTGCACGCTGCTGGAGAGTTTTATGGTGTAGTAAATTAGGTAAATTAGCCTTTCCACATAAGTGGTACCTAAATTTTCTACTTGAGAGATGCAACTGTCTTTTGGGCTGCAAAAGTCGACAGCAAGCTAGACAAATGGTTGCGAGTTTACTCTGACCCTGGCTGGCTTCGAGCACAGTAGTGATGCTTTTTTAATTCCGGCCACTAGGGGAGCTGTCGCTTCACCATCCACTTGTGGCACCGATGGAGTACTTCCTCATTCTTTTGCACGCTGCTGGAGAGTTTTATGGCTTCGTAAATTAGCCTCCCCACATAAGTGGTACCTAAATTTCCTACTTGAGAGATGCAACTGTCTTTCAGGCTGCAAAGGTTGACAGCAACCTAGACAAATGGTCGGGAGCTTACTCCAGCTCAGGCTGGCTTCAAAGTCAGTAGTGATTTTAATGCAGCTGACTCCCAACCAGCGGTGCCACAACCCTGGCCTTCCCTCCAAAATCCCTGGAGGGAAGGGCAGAGTTTGCCCATGCCTGGTGTCCCTGTGAGTCACCCTCGCTTGTTTCTCTCTCTTCTCTGCAGAGGTACAAAGCTATGCGGCTCCAGGCGGCATCCTTCCTTGTGGAAGACCCTTCACACCTCGACCGACAAAAAGCAACCTTTGCTAAAACGGAAGCGACCGGCCCCATCAAGGAAGCGACGTTCCAGATGGAAACTTGTGGTGCTTCCAGAGAGGAGCCTGGCTTTACAGCTGAGAGCAGCTCTGCGGGAAGGGATGACGTTGATACGCACGGCATCGTCCCAGCTGTTGGGGTTGCAGACGATGGGACGATTGGCCTCTCAGGTGCCGGCGCACTCTCTGTCTCGAGTAAGGCGGATGACTCAGGACTGTGCGGACTGCAAACGGAGACTTACGGCGATGTTGGGGGAGCCTCGTCTGACGAAGCGGATGCCGGAAACGACGACCACGGTCCCGAAGACCAAGACAAAGTGAAGGAAACTGAATTGTCCTTTCTGGACGACGAGGACGAGGAGAACGAGGACTCTAGGATCAGGCGCTGTTCGAGACGTCAGGCCAGATAAGACGACATTTTGTAGGCGTGGGTATTTTTTCCTCTTTGTGTAGATTTCTCCGAGAAAGGAGGCGTTGTCACTCCACACCCCGACCCTTGCCTTCTACTTTTTAGAGGAAGAGAAAAAAAAGGATTGCTCTAGTTTTCTTGCCGTTTTCTGTTTTGTTAAATTAAATTGGGAAAAACAAGCTAGCCGTTTCCATGTGCTTCCTGAAAAACTCTTTGTCTGGTGTGAGAGAATTGGCCATCTGCAAAGATGATGCCCGGCTGTGTTACCATCCTGTGGGAGGCTTCTCTCATGTTCCCATGTGGGAAGTTGGAGCTGACAGATGGGAGCTCAGCCCACTTCCCAGATTCAAACCACCGAACTTTTGGTCAGCAGTCCTGCTGGCACAAGGGTTTAACTTCTTGTGCCACTGGGGGCTCAATGATTTATATAAATAAAATGTAATGTTCATTTGTGGGATTAACATAACTCAAAAACCACTGGACGAATTGACACCAAATTTGGACACAAGACACCTATCAGGCCAACAAGTAACCATCACTCATAAAACATTGAAAAACACAGCAGAAGGGACTTAAAAAGCCAAAAACGCAAAAAGATGCTACAGTGCATGCGCAAAACCACTCTCTCTCACACACACACTTATATATGCAAACATAAGTATATACACAAATATGCACACACACATATACACACACAAAACACATATACACAGCAGAAGGGACTTAAGCCAAAAACGTACACACACACATATATATGCAAATACAAGTATATACACATATACACAAATATGCACACACATATACATACACACAAAACACATATACACAGACTGGGCCACAGCAACGCATGGCAGGGGACAGCTAGTAATCTATATAAATAAGAATGTAATGTTTGTTTGTGGGATTAACATAACTCAAAAAACACAGGAGAAATTGACACCAAATTTGGACACAAGACACCTATCAGGCCAATGAGCAGAAGAGACTTAAAAAGCCAAAAGACGCTACAGCGTATGCGCAAAATGACTCCTGGCAAAAAAACCCACACAATACCATATTCACACTCTCTTTTGGACTACAGCTCCCAGCATCCCCTAGACCAGGCCCTTTAGGAGAGGAGGATGATCCAAATGCACTGCTTCCAAGATGCAAGCTTTCTTTTCCTGGGATTTCTTTGAGAGCATCCCCATCCCTGCATATTTCCTATTCCTGGACTGCAACTCCCAGCAATCCTCCAGATAGATAGATTAGATAAAGATAGGCAGGTAGGTAGATTGATCAGGAGGACTGCTGGGAGTTGCAGTCCAAGAATACATAGAGAAGGAAGAACGGGGAGAAAGAGGGAAAGGAAAGAAAAGGGGGGGAGGAAG